TGCACCCGCCGGACAGGTCGGCCGCCTTCGCTTCGTCACCTGACCCGTCTCTCTGTGCGTGGGTATGGGCGGAAACGTGAACACGTGGCAAAAGAGACGATATATGACTGGTCCAACTAGAACCTAGTTTCCACCGCAGTTCAAGGGTGAACGTAACAAGCGCCGTCTCGACAAGGTTTTCGAGAGCTGTCATATTTCGTTGCATTCTGTCTCCAAACACGAGCTTCTTCCGTGTTTTTCGGTGTAAATCCCGATGCGTTCTTCGATTTGAGACAATGTTCGCGCACCAGTAACCGTAATGTTATATTAGATTACTGTTATCATTCACTTTTTGAATGAACCGTTGTTGTTGTTTTCCCCGTGACGTTTTACTCTGCTGTCCTTTTCAATCAGAATGTTCAAGGCCCGAGTCTCTGAATTAAAATTAACTGTCGGGCTAGTTGGTAATTTATTACAAAATTATAGCGCAAAATACTGCGTCAGGAAGGAACAATGGGGCAGGACAGAGCGCAATGTTAAGTCCATGGTTAGAAGTCTATGGTAAGAGTAAGAAACAAACACTCCGGGGAACGCCTTAAACCTATCTACAGGCAATGGCAACTTCAAAACGCGCTGCGTGGCGGATTCCGAACATCTTATTATCGCTCCATGGCCCATGAGAATGCAGCATTTTCCGATAAGAACGACTAAGGACCAATCAAGAAACAGGAAGTATGTAGGTAATATGCAACGCCCTGCATTTCTTAAACAGTCAGTGACTATAGCTTTTTGTTGTTGCCGTAGTTGCTTTTTCTCTCCTGATCATCATCCTTTTCAATTCTGGAACGGCGTCAAGTTCTGCGCAGTTTCAAACCCGCTCTACATTAATATATTTGAAATGTGATGAAAATATAAGAACGCGAAATTGCCTGTCGTTCTAATGGAAGCCATGAGTCTAGCAGTGTATAGATGTCAGCATCGTTGGGCGTCTGTTGGCATGTGGGGTGTAATAAAAAAGCGTGATCGCATGGAACCTAATATCTAGACAAGAAATAACTCTCAAATTTGCGTTTCATCCGGAAACAATTGACCCGGGAGAGATGTAGGCGGGACATATACGGTATGGAGCCTCTGCTTTCGGCGCCTTGAGCAATTCGGAGTTCCTTTGAATAGCGTCTCGCTGGGGTATATTTTTTTAAATTTCTTTTTGGATAATTATAATGCGACCTTCTAGCAGACTCAACTGACCTCGGGTCTTAGAAGGAATCTAACTCGCCATAGAAACCCGCAAACCTCAAAGATTACATAATTGCGCCACGAAAGAACCTTTTTTTTTTTTTTTAATCGTGAATTACGTAATTGGTCGATATCTATACGATCTTTTGGGAGTATTCTCAGGAACCTCGAGCGCAAACGTCCATTGTATTACAAGGTTCAGAAGAACGGGCTGAAGCAAAATCAATCAAAGTCTCAGTTTATAGGAGCACATAATGTAAAGAAAGATCCATTGGCGGATCCCTAAGGAATACGTTGGCATGCATGACCTTTGGAAACTCTAACGCTGACCCCTTCACTTTTACTGTTTTTGCTTTCTTTTTTGCTTCCTCTTTTTGGCTGCGCTGCGTTACGGGATCAGTGTTAGTGTTTACCAAAAGTAGGACGTGTGCGGCATTTCGCAAGGGCTAATGCATTCCCTAAAGGTCCGCCAATAAATTCTTCTTTATATTTTTTGTCGCCTACTTAGACCATCTCTAACACTTGGTTCAAACTCCATTTTGTGGAACAAACCGGGTCCTACGTGCTCCGCACACCCGCAAGTTCAGACTCGCCCCAGCATCCGCGCGCTCATTGGCTTCCGCCCTGTGACGTCACCTCCCTCTCTCCCTTCTCCTTCACTACTCTCCCCCTCTCCACGTGGCGCGTTTCTCTTTCCACTGTTTTTCCACAGACGGACGGCGTCAGCTTTTCCCCGTCATGTGGGTACTAATGCTAACGCATTAATATGGAAGTAAAACTGCAAGTTGACTTTATGCGTGGAATTTGATGTTTTCAGAGTTAATTTGTATATCTTCTAATTCGGGAGTGTTTTCTATTCTTTCCTGGGTTTAATTTCTTACATTGATTCGGTGTAGTATTTTGCTGTCGATCTTCAGTGTCTAATAATAAAGAAGAAATCGGTGATTATCGCGATTTTGGTTGAGCGGAAACAGGGGATGAGGATGGGAGGTCCCAATAACAAGCGCGTGACCCCAGTACTCGGAAAACTTCCCCCAGTCCCGATAGGGGAATGATAGGGGGAGTGGTTCCGGGATAGAAGCAGCCTGGTGGAAAGGTCAGTGGGGTCTGTGTTCGGGGTCAACCCCAACTAAAGCCGTAGAAATGTTTAGGTAGAGATTTTCATCTCGTGAAGCTGGTAAGTCTCGGGTTTTTCTTTTTCAAGAGCAGCTCTTGTTCGTGTTTCTTTCTTTTTCTTTTCCCCGGTTTTATGAGAAAACGGGCCTGGGGTTTAGCGGTGTTTACTCCAAAACCACGGAACCTCCAAAACGCCTATCAACATCCATCGGCGTCAAAAAATACATATGTGGGACCTGAAAAATGCCAATAAGCAACGGTCACGTCAAAAGTATAAATTGTTTAAAAATAAAAAAGGATAAACATTTGTCACTGTCAAAAATCGGTTAAAGCAAAAATGCAGATAAAGGGGCCGTTGGCGTCAAAAATGCAACATCGTGTAAAAACGAAAAACACCTATAAACAACCACTAGTGTCGAAAAATACAAAATCGGTTAAAATCGAAAAACATCATAAACAACCGTTCGTTTCAGCAACACAAAAATGGGTTAAGCCACAAAAACATATATAAACAACCGCTGGTGTCGAAAAATACAAAGTCGGCTAAAACCGGAATACACCGATTTCTGGATGTTTTTGCCCCTGCTAGAACTGCGTTCCTAGAAACCCTCTCCTGTTCCCAAAATTGCGACTGTTTACTATCGTGTATCTTAAAACCTGATTAAATCTCCAATGGCGAGAAAATATACTTAGGCCATCTATCGGGAAGCCGTGGAACGTTTCCAGTTTTCGTATCTTTCTTCTTTTTTTTCCTTTTTTTTTTTTTCGCGCATCATTTTTTTTTTTTTTAACTTTTGGCAATGTTAATAACCGGCCCTTTCTCATAGCTATTAAGTCCATTTGATCTCGCAAATGCTGCGAAACCTTAGCTCCAGTGAAATGCAGCTCCAGGGCAACCTCATAGATGGCGCCAGCTGCCAGCGTGTCATTGTGTTCAGAACCATATATTGGGAGAGTTTGGCCAATGGGCGGAGCGAAAGCCGCCGCCAGCGCCGAATACTGTCCCCGCGGTTAAAGCGTAAACTAAAAGGGTGACACAGCGTCGACCAATCAGCAGACTGCAACGTCACAATATTGAAAACGACATTTAAAGCGTGAAAGAGAAGCGTTCAATCTCGGCATCACGGTGACAGTTTGCTCTGGGCCGGCCTGGTAGAACAGCGAACAGCGACTGTCTGGAGAAAAAAAAAAACAGTGTAAAGACTGGAGCGCGCGAGCGTCTCAAGACGCGAATTGAGTCCCGCTCAGCTCGTGCGCTGGCTTCGGCAGTGCTTTCTTTCCCCCAATCTCAGCTGAGACGCTGCTTCTAGCAAGTCAGCCTTGGTATGGAGCGCTCGTTCGCTCATTCTGCCGTTGAATACGGGCGTGACGAAAACCTCGCATGCGCCAGGTTTTCAGTCACCGAGAGTTTTACCTTTTCATTCTAGCGACGCTAAGACGGCTTAAATTAGTCGTGTCGCATATTTAGAGCTCACGACGACCGCTAAGGCTGTTTCGAAACTTGTGGTTGGGTCCAAGATGCTCGCCTATTCAAACCAATGTATGGCCAAACTCTAACAATAAACGGCTCTGATTGTGTTCTCTTTTTACGTAAGAGATTACAATAACTTGGTCCTAAGAAAACGAAAGTGTATGAACAAAGTTTAAGACTTTAGCTTTTAGAATCTACATTATTTTTTCACCGACAATAGGGAGTTTTAGAATAGCGCACGCTAAAGCTTTGCGTGATCAAAGAATAGCGTCGTCGCCACTGCGCATGCTCCGAACGCAAACCAGGTTTTGCGCTTTGCCTGCGCAACTTTAGCGTGCGCTATTTCTCGGAAATAGCGTGCGTTCGTAAAGAGTCTTTGCGCTTCTCCAGTGAGGATTCGTGATGGCAAGTTGGCTAAAGCCAAGACGAGCAGTTAAAAAAATGGCGACTTCCAGAATTACGTCGGCGGCTGCTTTGGCGGCCTCGTGAGTGCGACGTCGTCGGCATCCTCAAGACTACGATTTTTAATACGGGACGACATTGCACTCGCTTTCGCAACGATAACAGGCAACTTGATGTTTGCGACGCGCGAACATTCTTCGGCGAAGGTACGATGTGCGAAGGTCAGTACACGAGACCTCTCTTGCCGAGGCGACGCAAACGGACACGACCGGTCAACCGCTCGCGTCGCATTCTCATCTTTAAACAAATCTAGAATGCTACTCTGAACCAAAAAGCTTGTTTGGTTGTTGTTTTTTTTTTTTGTTTTTTGTTTTTTCAAAAGGTACAGCATTTCGTGCGTGAAATAAAATTCCTGTCTGTATCATCTGGTGGCGTCGCAAGCCGAGCTGCTTGGGCTTTTGCGTCGCGACGTAGAAACGCTATATCTAAAACTCTCTTGCGTCGCGCGCGCTAATACAAGCGCTAAATTTAGCGCTAGCGTGCGCTAAAATTGCGTACCTTATTCTAAAACTCCCTAATCACCGTTTTAAGTGTCTGTCCAATACAAATCACCGAAATACACTGACGTTGTAAAAAAAAAAATTGTAAACGCCAAAAAACCTTTGCCGATTTTTTTAATATAAACATCGCAAAATCTATGGCCTAATTATAACTTTCCTTTTTACGTGACAATGTTCCCTCCCAAAACAAGGACCCGCGCGAACCGGCCACAAAGGCTTGCCTTCGGAAGTTCGGCATGCGGCGCTACTCGGTGCAGAAGAAGCTCAACTGGACTCAGTCGCCGTGGAGACAGTGCGCCTTCAACGACAAATTTACCATGGACGGAGACGAACCAATCATCGCCCTTCTCGGAGGACTGCAGAGTGGACTGCCCCAAATGGTGGCCACGGGTGAGCTTTGATTGGTTATCTTCGGAGCCTCGGTTTCCTCCAAAGAAGGGCATCCCAAATGCCTTTGCTATAGTGAAAAGCATCTCACTTCGCGAAGGACCAATCATCCTGGGGCCGACAGCGTTTGCGTTCTTAAAATGGCTAATGCGCCGCAGTTTTTTTTTTTTTTTTTTTTTTTTGAATGGGGAGAGAGGGCTGCCGCCATCCTTCGTCTTAGAAACCCGTCAAGGCAGCGGAGGCAGCCGTCTCTGCTGTCTTAGCGATTCCGGTATCTCGATGCGTTGACGAGAGCCCTGTCCCTCGGCGCCGCGCTAAAAGGGAAACATCATCCGGAATAATCAAAGTCTGTTCATTCGAATTTTGACGTCATCAAAGTGAGATCGAGCGAAGACGCATATTGAACGCGAGTGCTGCGTCACCATTCGACTGGGCCTTGTGCCCAATGAACGCGTCGGATTGGACGTTCGGCATCCAGCTCGGGTTCAATGGCCAAGTTGGCGTCATTCGACTGTGGTGATCTTCCACGGAGGAAGGGGAGGAGGTTCGCAGGTCTGGATCATTCTAGGTGGTATTGAAAAGTGAGTCAGCGCTGACAGCGCAATGCGCAGGCGTTGTCCCGGAGGCGCGGTTTCCACACCGCTAAGGGAGTATATTTGGCGCTGTATGCGCGTTTATTTAAACATGTAAACGCTTTCTCGTGCAGATGTATAGATGTCTGCCTCACGACATTTTTCTACCTTTCTTATTGATAGCCAATGCTTCCGACAATTCCCTAGCTGTTTAATCGGACCCCGCCCTTCCTGTGACTATAAGCTATGTGAAGATGGGCTGACACTTACACACCACTCGATGCGTAGGTAAATGCCCCCGTGACGTTGACCGATGCTCGTTGTCACGACGACCGCAATCTCTGGGAGGAACTCGAATCAAACAGCTATACCCGGTTCACCCCTAAGCTGGCATTGCGGTGGAAGTTTAGCGCTCGTCGGCGAACAATCGACCGCCTCCCTTTCGTGCTCAGACACCGCTCTCTGCCCCTGGGCACGGGGCGGGAGCGTGACCACGCGGTTGAAGGCAGGAGTACGACCGATCCAACGAGCACTTCGCTTCCACCGCACTGTCAGCTTAGGGGCGAACCATCAGACTAGGGAAGCGTCGGAAGCGTGCGATATCAATGAGGAATGGGTAGCAAAATGCGTTAGTCAGAAGTATTTATGTACAAACATGCGCATAAGAAAGAAATATAGCAATCTATGGACACGTGCCGCTTTCGTCGAGGTGTACGGTTGTATTGCTTCCTCTGATTTTATTGTATTAATAAACGTTATGTTTTTTGTTGTTTTTTTTTTTTTTTTTTTTTTGTTAAGTCCAAACGCAGCCAACACGACTAGATGGAAACAATCAAGCAAAACCTAGAGTGCATCGTGATGGAGCCCGTCGTCCATGCGCATTTGCTACTCTGGCTAAAACGATCACGCAAAGTAAATGACCCATAATCCTGCCTTTTTGTGTGTGTGTGTGTGTCTGTGTTTTTGTTGTTTTTTTTTGGCTTTGTTTTGAGCGTGACTGGTTAGACGTCGATAATGAACGCAGAATGACAACGATCGCCGAGACGATGCATTTTTGCAACTGCTTGATTTACTCCACCAGGTCGCTGAGTTGACTGCGTTCGGTTTAAAACAAAGTGTAGGTAATTGTTGTTGTTGTTGTTGTTGTTGTTGTTGTTTTGTTTTTTTTAAGTCCGCCATTTTCAGATTTATTATTCCTTCGCGAATTTTTCCAAGAAGCACAAATGGCTTTCGTCCGATTTCCGCGAGGGCAGCTGGAAACGGTGCGTACGTTCTATGTTTGGCGTCAGGTATTTCGTGCCACAGTGTCGGTGCTAGCGCTGCTTTCGCGGTGCTCCGACTCTCAAAGCTAGAGTAGCACGAGTGCACGCGAACGATACGCCAGACAAAGCCACGGGCGCTTACAGCAATTGCGAGAAGCTGCGATCTCCTTGATATTAGAGAGTTTTAGTAGGTCGTTCCGATACCCCCGATAGCCCCGATAACGATACTATGCATGCGCAAGGGAGGCGGTGGCGGAGTATCGGGTATCGTTATCGGAGTCATGGGAACGATCTACTAAAACTCTCTACTAATGAGTTTTAGAATAGGGGGCCCCAACGTTTGGGTTCCCCTAAGAAATCGGGAGACCCAAACGCAACAAGGTTGATGTTGACGGCTTGTAGAATAGCAGTTTCGCAAACGCAGCTCTATGCGCTTACGTTTCCCGCTTAGAGCACCAATGCGGCTAACCAGCGTAATAATCAAAAAAGAAAAATCTTTAAAAAAATACTTAAGACATGTGCGTTTAGCAAGAACTTTTTGTTTACAAATATTAGTAAAGGGAAATACCAATCAAGCCGGCTAAAACAAGACACAATCTAATATTCACTATAAATGTTGTGGGCTATATTCAGCGGAAACAATCCAATCTGTAGCACTCCAATTTGGCGCTCGTTCTCGGATTTTGCTTGGCATTCCTGTGCGCTTTAACCTCCTATCGCCGAAGATTTAGGCCTTCAGCTATGCCGAAATTAAGACGAACACGAGCGAGCAAACTCTGCGAGCAGCGGCTCTATATAGTTCTGAGCTGGAGCGACCTTGAAGCCTTAAATACTTCTTTTCAAGCTGCAGGCATCGTGACACGAACGAAATCCACTCGGAGATACGGAGTAGCAATACGTTGCCATGTCAACGGTTATCGCGTCTCTTTAGGCTTAGGAACTGCCAGAGTCAGGGACGATCTTTAAAATGGGGCGAGCCCACCGCTCATTCTTTGTGACTTGAGCGATATAATGCGAAGTAAAGCCGGTTGCACCATTCGTTGGCAATGAAACTGGCTAATACTGCAGCGACCATGACGAAGTTTGCTGCGAAGCGAGCGGACAGGGCGCCGCCATGTTTGCCGACGCAGCCCGGCCCCGAGCAAATAGGGGCCCCACGCTATTTCTCGAATTTCGCGTTAGGGGCGAGCGCCAACCCAAAACACCAAACGGAGTTTGGGTTCTGCGCGTGCGCAGTGGTGAGCCCCTATTTCCTTGGGCCTTCTATTCTAAAACTCTCTATTGTAACGCGAACTTGACGCGGAGTGTGGACGATTGGAAGCAAGGCGCCATGGCCGCCGCGATGTGTCAGCTCGTGCGGGAAAGCCCGTACGATTTCGAGCTGGCCGCCCAAACTTATCTTCACGCGCACGCTGCACGCACTTGCACACGTGGGAAACCAGTCGGGGCGCCGTGCTTGCAATAGGGAGTATTCATTGGCGGCCATATCTGTGCGCGCTGCCGCTGAGCGCGTGCTGACGGCGAGCTTCCGCAGTCCTTCTGGAGCGTGCATCTAGCACCATCAAGGTCGCCGGTCTTAGCAGGCTATTAATGTGAGCTCTTTCTGAGCAGAGCATCGGAACGACGCCATAAACTCACTCCTTGAAGAGGCAAGACCAGCTACGTACGAGGACTGGACCCGCCCCAGGCTCGAGCACCCGCAGCGCAAACACATTCTCGATTCCCTGATTAGTTTCGTTCGCTCATCGGAGATCGCCTGTTACATTTAGCCTCCTCCCCCTACCCTTCCCATAATCCCCTTCCCCCGTCACGATTGGATGACTTTATCAAGAAATCGTGATGTATGCCATTCCTTTAATAAATACGTTTTCTCACTCACTCATGCGCTCTAAACATCGCCCTCAAATATGGCGTCCAGTGAATACCTCCTATTGTCTATAGAACCGCGCTCTTCCAAGCCTGCCTTCCTGCACGGAGCTCGTGAGATAAAGAGGGCATTTAATACCTTCGCTAAACCTTCCTGACAATCACTTTTTTTTTACAAATATTTACGTATTTTATGTTATCTGACCCTTTACTTTAGTTTTGGAATAGCTCAAACAAAAAACACGTCCACTTTATAAAAAAAAAAGTGCCAATAATATTTTTGAGTTGTTTTTTATGTTAATATTTTTGTTTTCCTTTCACTAAGAAACCAATCCAAGAACTTGAGATATCTACTTCTCTTACTTTTTATTTCTCACTATCTCTCTCTTTCCTTCCTTTTTTCTCTCTTCCTCTTTTTCTCAGGCAGGTGGCAATTATGTTCTACATCGAGGGTGTAAAGCGCACTTGACTTCTTTTTTTTTTTCGACCGTCAATAGATTTCCCGCCTGAGAAAATTTCTAATTACGGTTGCCAGGCTACAGGATCAAACCTCTGCAAGCAAGCGTGCAACGCCAAGTGTTTTATATCTGTGTCACTTTTGCAGACTGTTTTTTTTTTTTTTTTTAGCAGTCGAAGGCAGTTTAAATTCCTTGCTATTCAACATCGTTATCTTAATAACTTGATTCGAATCTCATCCCCAATATCTTCGCAGTCATAGTCTAAAGTTATAGGCCGTGAAATGAATCACTTAATTCCTACTTATTATACCAGTTTTACTTATTCGTAGGCTAATCTCTTAGCCGATTGATCGATTGGACGTCGTGGTTTTTATATAGATTTGTCTCTGTGCAACCTAAAATCGAAATTTTATTCAGCGGCGGAGCTTCCTCTTTAATTAATATTAAAGTGCATTCTCTCTCCTCTTTAATTAAAATGCATTCTCGTATTGGCGTTGCGTTTTTTTAATCATGTATTTATTTAATTTATTGTACATTTAAAGGCTCAGCAGGGGATTACGTAATGGTGGAAGGATGGGGAGAGAGAGAGAGAACATTAAAAGGGAATAAGAACTAAGCACTCACTGCCCACTACTAGATATAATTGATCATAAATTGGCGAGTGACGGTGCTGAAAATAAGTGTAGACCCCCCTCCCCCCGTCCCCCCCCCCCCCCCCCCCCAAAAAAAAAAAAAACGCTGTCGGCGTTGCGTCACTGGCATGACATGTCGTTGGAGGCCCAGTGGGGCTCCGTAGATTGCAGGGATTGGCTCTCGTAAGCGAACTGCGGGGGAAGTAGACACTC